TCAGGGCTCCCCACTTTGCACCTCAAAACCAACCGCCTGCGATATTCTGTTTGTAGAGATCCAGATCTTCTTACATCTCAGGCTGGTTTTGTGGGTGCTCAGAGTGGTCTGGTAGATATCCAGCTCAATTCCAGGACCAGTTGAAATAGGGTCCCCTACTCCTCTGCCATCTTCCCTCCCCCCCCCCCATACTTTTGTTTGTTGTGAGGGTTTTGAGTACTGTTTCAATTTCTTTGCTGGTTATCATTCTCTTCAAATGTTCTATTTCTTCCTGTTTCTTTTTTGTAGTTTATATGTTTCTAGGAATTTATCCATTTTTTCCAGGTTGTCCAATTTGTTGGCATATAGTTTTTCTTAATATTCTCTTACAATAGTTTGTATTTCTGTGGTGTTGGTTGTTATTTTTCCTCTCTCATTTGTGACTTTTTTTTTAGTTCTTTCTCTTTATTTTTTTGATGAATCTTGTGAGAGGCTTATCAATTTAATTTATTTGTTCAAAGAACCAGCTCTTGGTTTCACTGATGTGTTCTATTGTTATTTTTAGTTTTTATATCATTTGTTTGTGCTCTAATTTTTATTATTTCCTTCCTTCTGCTGGTTTTAAGGTTGTTTTTTTTTTCCTAGCGTATTTAGGTGTAAGGTTAGTTTGAGATTTTTCTTGCTTTTTGAGCTGGATCTGTATTGCTATAAACTTCCCTCTTCAAACCACTTTTGCTGTATTCCAAGGGTTTTTGTACTGTTGTGTTTTCATTTTCATTTGTTTCCATGTACTTTTTTTTTTTTTTACTTTTTAATTTCTTCTTTTATTTCTTGGTTGATGCATTCATTGTTTAGTAGCATGTTATTTAACCTCTATGTATTTAATGGTCTTTCCAGATTTTTTCTTGTGGTTGACTTCTAGTTTCATAGCGTTTTGGTCAGAAGAGATGCACGGGGGTGGGGGGAACTTGGCTTGCTCAGTCAGTGGAACATGGGACTCTTGATCTTGGGACTGTATGTTCAAGCCCCCATTAGGTGTAGAGATTCCTTAACAATAAAATCTTTAAAAAAAAAAAAAGGATGCATGGTATGCCTTTGATCTTGAATTTGTTGAGGCAGGTTTTGTAGGCTAATATGTAATCTATTCTGGAGAATTTTGAATAGGCCTTCTTAACACTTTTGAGCATGGACTCCTCTGGCAATTTTGTAGATAAAGACTTCTTTTCAGAAATATGTTTGTAAATGTATAATATAAGGTATATAGTCTCACAAAGGAGATAAATTATATTAAAATACAGTAATAATGATAGCAAAATTTTAAAAATCTTATAATAGTATGTGTACTTCTTTATTAATTTATTAAAGCATTAGCCTAACTGAAGGTCTAATAACCACAGCTATTTTCAGGTGGTGGTGAGTATACATAAATAAAATTTTGAGTTGTTTGTAATAACTGTGGCATGATATGACCTGTGGTTTCTCTTGGCAACAAATCCATAGGTCTTTCTCATCCTTCTCTTTGGTTGGCTCCATTCATCATGGAAGAGAAAGCTATGATTCTTGTAAGTTCTGGAGGAAATAAATACTTTTTCCCATCCATATTATGACCCTTGAATGTTGTTCATAGACTGGGAGTCTGTAGAACCTAGGTAAAGAACTTCTGGAGGAGGTGGCCTACATGGGCTCAAGGCATCCTTACTCTACTCTGGATCATGGAGTGGGTGGGAGGTAGAATGAGAAGGGCTCCAACCATCAGGACTGGAGTCAGACCAGCCCTCTTGGGGAGCAAGTTGGTATTCCTGGAAGGGAGCAATCAACAGGTGCAGTCATCTGACTGGAGAATATGCACCTGTAACTTATAGCCCATGGACGACCTGATGCAGCTGCAAATGGGTGGCTATTAACTGAGGTATGGCCTAGATTCGGGGTATGGGAAGAGGGACTGCTGGGCAGGCACAGGCAGAAGGAAAAAGATGAGGAACTAAGTGTCCATTTCCCCTGGGAATGGTGAGCTCTATAATGTGGGTTTCTTACCTGTCTTATCTACTGCTGTTGCCACAGTGCCTGGGCAAAACAGGCATTAGGCAAATACATACTGAAAAGAATAATAAGCTTTTCTATCTGAATAAGATCTTTGAAATCATCTTATCCATTCATTTTCTTTTCAAGATAAATAAACAGACCTCATTGGGTGCCCACAACCATAAACTTGGGAAGGAAAGATTGGAAGGAGCTTATGCTTCCACAACCTGACTTTTTCTGTCACCCATTATGGCCCTGACACATTTCTGTCATAAAGCTATCTATATGTGGAGCTGAACAGGATGTGGGGATTTCCAGTAGTCTGAGGACAGTGTTAACAGCTGTTCCTGACTCAGGATCTGTGTACTGTAAGGGGAGAATTTTCAAGTGAAACTGGGAGATGATGTAAGACTCAGACTGGGTTCTCTGGGCAGAAATGAACAAAGGAGGTTTGGTCCCTGCCCACCATCTAGTGTCAGGGGTAGAAGGACATCCATGCTCAAAGAGACTGCATGATCCATTTCTGACCACTCAAAGATCTTTATATCCACAGAAGTCTCCTTCCTGGGAGATGGGAAGGCCTGGTTCCCCTCTACTCTGCTAGCAGCCAGTATGATGGGCCATAGGCATAGATGATCTCTGGAACCTGGAACCTTTTCCATGCCCCTATCCAGCCAGGGGTGGGCAGAGAGACTCAAGATGGAGAATGAGGAGGCACAGTGAACTCACACCTCTCCTGGAGTCCAGGGCTGGGCTCCTCACTGCAACCTCTTATACTTGATTGTGCTTACTATGATCAACATAGAACTGATGTGTATGATGACAATTAGAACTGGACTTAGGTGACAGACTAGGGTGAGAGTGCCATGAGTTAAGTTAGGGTGGGGAGACAGGCCATCATGAATGTGTCAGTGGCTGAGGAGGAGACTGTGTATGTGTGAGAGTCACCTGCCATCTTCTGTATCTGGAAGGCCCTTTCTCCCTACACACCATCCTTTCCCACATATATAATTGTAATGGAAACGTGGTGGTTTAATTCTGAACTTAAATGTAATCAGCATGTCCTGGCTCCAACAAGATTTGGGGACTCCTGAGACCAAATTAAAGTGTCATCCTAGTGAAAGTTCCACTTTTAGCACATTAGTATGAAAAACTCGGTAGACCAGTACAGTCATGGGGGAAAAAAATGTTTAACACTACAAGTCATCCTAAGGGTATTCAGAAAAATCTACTATATTTAGTAAAAACAGTTCCAACATTATTTGAACCAAGATCCATGCCTTGTCCCTATCCTAGCTCAGCAAGTTGGAAATTACACTCCTGACTGGTACAGCCAAGAACACAGGGCTCCTTCTCACTCCTGCCTCTAGTCAGAGGGCTATCTTCCTGGAAGAGACAGAAATCAGCACCAGAGCCATGGCTCACACATTTTTCTCAGTGGGAGAAGCAGACCATAGAACACAGAGTTCCAAATTTCTCTCCAAAGGAAATTACTTTATTTGCAACATACTATAAAAAATAGTCAAATGTAAAAGAGCTCTAAGAACAGTGAAGGTTGTGGTGAAAGGCAGTTGGGAATCAATTGATGGATTCATTGGTGATACAAGCTAAACTTTAGGCCAGTTAGCTTGCCAGAGACAAACAGGAAAACAGAGAGCCAAGAATCTTCCTGTTCCTCAGAACAAATTTCAAACACTAACTTTAAGACTTATTCCTTCGGGGCACCTGGGTGGCTCAGTCGTTAAGCGTCTGCCTTTGGCTCAGGTCATGATCCCAGGGCCCTGGGATCGAGCCCCGCATCGGGCTCCCTGCTCTGCAGGAGGCCTGCTTCTCCCTCTCCCACTCCCCCTGCTTGTGTTCACTCTCTCGCTGTGTCTCCCTCTGTCAAATAAATAAATAAAATCTTAAAAAAAAAAAAAGACTTATTCCTTCAAAGGAGCCTGAATTTAGTTTGTTTGGGGGCCAGAGATTGAGGGGAGATCTTCTCAAATAATGCAGTTTCAGAATTTCCAAAGGCACAGAATGATAAATAATGACTAACACAAATAACATCCTAAGTCTAGGTACATGGAGACATGATGTAATAAATAGATAAGAATGATGTTTAACTCACCTATCAGTTATTGAGAATTGAGTGGCCCTCCATAGATCAATGAAAAAAATAGCCCAGAAATAAACCCACCATTTATATGGTCAATTAATCTTTGACAAAGGAGGAAAAAATATGCAATGGGAAAAAGATAGTCTCTTCAACAAATGGTGTTGGGAGAACTAGACAGCTACATGCAAAAGAATGAAACTGGACCACTGGTTTACATCACACAAAAATAAAAATGGGGGGCGCCTGGGTGGCTCAGTCGGTTAAACAGCTGCCTTTGGCTCAAGTCATGATCCCAGGGTCCTGGGATCGAGCCCCGCATCAGGCTCCCTGCTCAGCAGAGAGCCTGCTTCTCCCTCTCCCTCTGCCTGCCTCTCTGCCTACTTGTGCTCTCTATCTCTCTGTCAAATAAATAAATAAAATCTTTAAAATAAAATAAAATAAAATAAAAAAATAAAAATAAAAATGGATTAAGGCCCTAAAATGTGAGACCTAAAACTACAAAAATCCTAGAAGAGATCACAGGCAGTAATTTCTCTAAAATAGGATATAGCAACTTTTTTTCTAGATATGTAGCCTGAGGCAGAGGAAACAAAAACAAAAATAAACTATTGGAACTTCATCAAATAAGCTGCTGCACAGAAAAGGAAACAACCAACAAAACTAAAAGGCAACCTACAAAATGGGAGAAAATATTTGCACATGACATATCTGATAAAGGGTTAGTATCCAACAGAACACTCATGAAAGAAATTGAAGAAGACACAAAAATATGGAAAAACATACCATGCTCATGTATTGGAAGAATAAACATTTTTAAAATGTCTATGCTACTCAGAGCAATCTATACCTTCAATGCCATCCCAATCAAAATTCCAATGACAATTTTTCAAAGTGCTGGAACAAACAGTCCTAAAATTGTATGGAATCAGAAAAGACCCTGAATCACCAAGGAAATGTTGAAAAAGAAAAATAAAGCTGGGGGCATCACATTGCCTGATCTCAAGCTATATTACAAAGTAGTGATCACCAAGACAGCATGGTACTGGCACAAAAACAGACATACAGACCAATGGAACAGAATAGAGAGCCCAACTCTATGGTCAAATAATCTTGACAAAGCAGTAAAAAACATGCAATGGAAAAAAGACCATCTCTTCAATAAATGGTGCTGGGAAAATTGGACAGCCACATGCAGAAGAATGAAACTCGACCATTCTCTAATACCACACACAAAGGTAAACTCAAAATGGATGAAAGACCTCAACGTGAGACAGGAATCCATCAAAATCCTAGAGGAGAACATAGGCAATAACCTCTGACATAGGCCACAGCAACTTCTTTCAAGATACATCTCCAAAAGCTAGTGAAACAAAAGCAAAAATGAACTTTTGGGACTTCATCAAGATAAAAGGCTTCTGCACAGCAAAGGAAACAGTCAACAAAACAAGGAGGCAACCCACAGAATGGAAGAGGATATTTGCAAATGACTCCAAGATCTATAAAGAACTTCTCAAACTCAATACCCAAAAATGAATAAGCAATTCAAAAAATGGGCAGAAGACATGAACAGACACTTCTCTGAAGATGACATACAAATGGCTAACAGACACATGAAAAAATGTTCATCATCATTAGCCATCAGGGAAATTCAAATCAAAACCACATTGAGATACCACCTTACACCAGTTAGAATGGCAAAAATGGACAGCACAAAAAACAAATGTTGGAGAGGTTGTGGAGAAAGGGGAACTCTCTTACACTGTTGGTGGGAATGCAAGTTGGGACAGCCACTTTGGAAAACAGTGTGGAGGTGCCTCAAAAAATTAAAAATAGAGCTACCCTATGACCCAGCCATTGCACTCCTGGGTATTTACCCCAAAGACACAGATGTAGTGAAAAGAAGGGCCATATGCACCCCAATGTTCATAGCAGCAATGTCCGCAATAGCCAAACTGCGGAAAGAGCTGAGATGCCCTTCAAGAGATGAATGGATAAAGAAGATGTCGTCCATACATACAATGGACTATTACTCAGCCATCAGAAAGGATGAATACCCAACTTTTACATCAACATGGATAGGACTGGAGGAGATTATGCTAAGTGAAAGAAGTCAAGCAGAGAAAGTCAATTATCATATGACTTCACTTATTTGTGGAACATAAGGACATTAGGAGAAGGAAGGGAAAAATGAAGGGGGGGAAATCGGAAGGAGAGATGAACCATGAGAGACTGTGGACTCTGAGAAACAAACTGAGGGTTTTAGAGGGGAGAGGGGTAGGGGGATGGGTTAGCCCAATGACGGGTATTAAGGAGGGCAGGTACTACATGGAGCACTGGGTGTTATACGAAAACAATGAATCATGGATCACCACATCAAAAACTAATGATGTATTATATGGTGACTAACATAACATAATAAAATAAAATTTAAAAAAAAAGCGTTAGTATCCAAAATGTATAAAGAACTTACACAACTCAACACCCCAAAAAATAAATAATCCAGTTAAAAATGGGCAGAAGACATGAATAGACATTTCTCCAAAGAAGGCATCTGGATAGACAACAGACACATGAAAAGATGTTCAACATCACTCATCATCAGGGAAATACAAATCAAAACTACAATGAAATACTACCTTGCAACAGTCAGAATGACTAAAATCAACAACATAAGAAACAATAAATGTTGGCAAGCATGTGGAGAAATAGGAACTCTGTGCACTGTTGGTGGCAGTACCAACTGGTGCAGACAGTGTTTTCTACTTTTAACTCAAAAGTTAAAGTAAAACTACCCTATGACCCAGTAATTACACTACTGGGTATTTACCCCCAAAATACAAAAAAACACTAATTCAAGGAGATACATGCACCCCTGTTTATTGCAGCATTATTTATAAAAGCCAAACTATGGAAACAGTCCAAGTGTCCATTGATAGATGAATGGATGAAGAAGTGAAATATATAAAGATATAGATAGATATGTAAATATAATTTATCCATAAAAAAGAATGAAATCTTGCCATTTGCAACAACATGAATGGATCTAGAGGGTATAATGCTGAGTGAAAAAAGTCAGTCAGAGAAAGACAAATACCATATGATTTCACTCATATGTGGAGTTTAAGAAACAAAACAAAGAACCTGCAAAGAAAAGAGAGAGAAACCAAGAAACAGACTTAATTATAGAGAACAAACTGATGGTTACCACAGGGGAGGTAGGTGGGTAGATAGGTTAAATAGGTGATAGGGATTAAAGAGTACACTTACCCTGATGAGCATTGAGTAATGCATAGAATTGTTGAATCACTATGTTGTACACCTGAAACTAATATAACACTGTTTGTTAACTAGACTGGAATTAAAATTTAAAACTTTAAAAAATAAATAAAAAATAAATTTTAAAAAACAATTGAAGTACTCAAAATAAACTCATTCTTTTGAGTAACCTAATTTCTGCTTACTTATTTAGCAAACCTCTAAATATTTTAAATTTTAATGAAAGTAATAAATGCACATATTTAACACATAAAATAGCATAAAAAGTCTGATGAGAGTAAGAAAAAGAGGGAGGGGATGTAGGAAAAAAGGGAGAAAGGAAAGGAGGGAAGAACAGAGAGAGGGAGGGAGGAAGACCTCTAAATGACCTCCCCACCTCTAGACTTGCTCCTCAGAGGTAACACATATAACAGGCTATGATTTTAATTCTATGGTCACCTCTACATCTTTTGGTAAAGTTTAATCACTATTTCTTGATTAACTTTAGACACTGTTTATGTTCCTATTGTGATAGATAAGTTTCCTATTATGGTAGATTAAGTCCCTTTGCCACTACCACCACCTCTCAATATATTTATATCAATATTTTAGTTGTATTTTTAATTATATGTAACTGCAACAATAATTAACACACTTAAATCTTTCCACAAACTGTAGACCATATCCTTGAGCTCCTCACTATACAAGTGAAGGTACTGGCATCTTCACCCTTCTCTCCACCCCCTTCTCTGTTCCTTCACAAAAGGAGTCTGAATTTGGTTGGATGAGTCTATAGGTCAATTTAAGCCCAGGGAATGTTGAAAAAATAGAGTAAGCAGACTGCTATAGCTGGGTATAGTCAGGGAAAGAGTTAGTAAATAAAGACCTGCCAAACCACTGTCATCCCAGGGGCACTGTGGGAATACACAAGGGGCATATACATAAAGTCCTCTGAGCATAATCATTTGAGGCTTCCCCCTGCAGAGGTTGGGAAGAATAGTGGGGAGTGGGGGGGTGGTTGAATAATAGATATCATAAAAGTAAGCCAGTCAATTATTACATAAGTAAGCAGGCAAATAATAAGCCCCAGGGTGAAGGGAGGACTACCCACACTTGCTACCATATATTATCTAAAATGCAGTTTCCAACAAAAATTGGGAGACATGCAAAGAAACAAGAAAATATAACCCATACACTACAGAAAAAGCAGGTAATAGAAACTGTCTGTATGAATAGTGTGTTAGGGTTCTCCAGAGAAGCATAACAAACAGATTGCATATATATTGATAGAGATATATTTCAAATATGTGGCTTATGAGATTGCAGGGACTCCACAATTCCAAATCTGCAGAGCAGGTCACCAACCAAAGACCCAGGGAAGAGTTGCAGTTCAAGTCCAAAGGTGATCTGCTGTCAGAACTTCCTCATACTCCTGGCAGGTTGGTCTTCCTTCTATAAGGTCTTCAGTTAATTGGATGAGACCCACCTACATTATGGAGAGTAATCTGCTTTACTCAGTTTACCAATCCTAAAAAATACCTTCACACAAACAACTAGAATATTTGACCAAATATCTATATACCATGGCCTGGACAAGTTGACACAAAATTTACTATCACATTTCTACCCCTGTCAACTTGAACACTCTTTAAATCATTCTAAATCTCCAAATAAAGCAATAACAAGGTCATAATTCTACCTGAAATGATTCAAGTATTCCACATACAACTGAAAACATAGAGGCCTTTCCCCAGAAGAGAAGGCAAAGTCCTTGGGTGATGTTTACTCTTCTTCTTCTTGATATTTCATAAGTTAAACACTATGATATAACATTAACAATACTTAAATATTATGATATAAAGTCAATACATCCGAGATTATGGGGCAAGATGGCTGAATAGGAGGACCCTGAGCTCACACCATCCCATGTTTATGAAATATCATCTACATCCAAGTCAGTAAACTGGAGAACAATCTGAAGACTGGCAGAACAAACTCCACAACTAAATATGGAGAGAAAGATGCATCTGAAAGGTAAGGAAGGCCAGAAAGACAGAGGGTGGCTGCCCACAAAGGGAGGGAGTTGCACACACTGAGAGAGCAGAGAAATGGGCCTTTACACCAGGGAGCTCAAATGGGGAAGACTAATCCCCATAACATTTGGCTTCAAACATCAGAGAGGCTGAAATCCATGGGTTTGTAAAACCAGTGGAACTTAGAGCATGGAGCTTTAAAAATCTGCTGACTCAACCCTGGGCAAGCTGGGAGGGTGAGTGATAGCTGGGTCTCTGCCCCTAAAGAGACAGCAGCCTGCATGGAGAAGCAACATAAAAGCCAAAAGTGTCAGTTTACACAATGTCAGGGGCAAATGGGAGACAGGTCTGTTAATACTGATTTTGGAGTGTGTCGAGGGACATCTTTGAAAATGAGGGAGTTGGCAGGGGCCATTTTCCTATCCCAACCTCAGCATAAACACAAAGCCACCTGCAGGAGGTGGAGCTGCACTTGTAGCCTCACCCCAGAGTTCAAAGTAAATTTTGTTAAAGCTGCACACACACACCATCCCGCAGTTGGGTGCCCTGCTGCCACTTCATACTCAGCTCAACCTCAGTGCAGCAACCAGGTGAACATACCCCAGCCTCCACAGCATGCCATGCCCAGATGTGGGGTGCGCAGCTGCCACCATGCCACACACAGCTGCACCTAGCCATCCCTGCTTGCAGACTCACAACCCCAACTGCCCTGGCATGCAGGCCCCAGCCACTGCAGTGCTTCTAGGGACCCAACATAGGACCACCGGCCCAAAAATTTGGTTAACAATACTGACCCACTCCCAAGTTCCCTGAAGGGAATGCCCCCACACATCTGGCCTGCCTGGATCCCACTGACACCACAGAGAATAAGCACAGCCCACAATGGGCAGAGAGGCAGTGCAGATGACTACAGTGAAAGGAAAAGGGACTCATACACAAGAGCAGGGTGCAAGCAACATACATAGGATACTCTCCTGAAGTGCCAGGTTCTGTTGAACAGTAGACATTGCACTGCAGGGCACTCCACGATCTCCTTTTCATAAAATCACTACACTCAAGAGCAGAAGACAACTGACTTTATTAACACAGAGAAACACACAGAGAGGCAGACAAAATAAAGAGACAGAGAAATTTATTCCAAATGAAACAATAGGACAAGGCCACAGACAGAGATCTAAGCAAAACAGATATAAATAACATGCTTGAAACAGAATTTAAAGCAATGATCATAAGGATACTCACTGAACTTGAGAAAAGAGTGAAAGACATGAGTGAGACCCTTGATACAGAGATAAGGAATATAATGGCAGACATAAAAAGCTCAATAAATGAAATGAGAAACATGCCTGATGGAATGAACAGCAGGATAGAAAAAGCAGAGAAATGAATGAAGACCTAGAAGACAGAGTAATGGAAAGAAATCAAGCTGAACAAAAAAGAGGGGGAGAAGCACAAAATGAGAATAGACTTAGGGAACTGAGTGATTTCATCAAATGTAATAACGTTCCTATTATAGGAGGCCCAAAAGAAGAGAGAGAAAAAAGGGCAGAAAATGTATTTGAAGAAATAACAGCTGAAAACTTCCCTAATCTGGGGAATGAAACAGATATCCAAATTCAGGAAGCACAGAGAAATCCCATCAAAATTAAAAAAAGCAGACCCATACCAAGACATATTGTAATTAAATCAAAGAAAAATATCTTAAAAGCAGCAAGACAAAAGAAGTCAGCAACTTACAAAGGAGCCCCATGAGGCTAGCAGGAGACTTCTCCACAGAAATTTTGCAAGCTGGGAGGGAGGCAAGATGGCAGAAGAGCATGGGACCTCTTTTCACCTGAATTTAGCTATATAACTATCAAATCACTCTGAACACCTATGAATTTAACCTGAGATGTAAGAAAAGAATTGCTGGAATTCTACAAATAGAAAACCGAACACTTTTTGGAAGGAAGGAGTGTGGAGAAGTGAAACTGAGGGGATATATTGGAAGATAAATGGGGCAGGAGGGAGCCTCCAAAAGCTGGCTACCAGAAAGTGATATAGCCCTAGAGCACAAAATCGGAACTTTTAGAAATCTGCTCCAGTGAGAGACTGAAAGGTGCTCAGTGGTGAAGTGTGGCAGAATCCTAGATGGGACAGTGTGGTCTCAGGATCCCCAGGGTCACAGAGAGAACAGGGGTACCTGAGCCAGCAGAATTCCCAAGCATTGGAGCAGGGAAACTGTTTATGGTCTGTGAGCCCAGGAGTGGGCTCTTAGCTCGGTTCACCATAAACAAAAACCCTGCATGATGCAGCAACAGGTCTGGGGGGGCGGGGTGGGGGGGAGAGCTTGCAAAGGACAAAAAAGTGGTAGGCTTCCACCTAGAGGGGAGGGGTGGGGCTGGAGTGGCCATGACCTGGCAACCAGTCTCCTTGAGGGGTCCTGCAAAAGACAGAAATACAGAGACCATCGGCCTTCCCCCAGGAGGAGCAGTGCAGGTGCACACCACAGGAGTCTGCACAGTACGGCACACACAAAAGTGTGAAGACCACTTATCCCTGAGAGTTTACCAAAGAGAGGGGACTGCAATCTTTCAGCTCCAGGGCTAGAGATGGGGGCATGGCCATTTTTATTCTCATCCTCTAAAGAGGCCCGGAAAGCCTTCAGGGAATATAGCCACATAGAAAAACCAGAAACAGCTTACACTGAGCCCAGCCCCCTGGCAAGGGGCGGTGCAACTCCAGACAGAGGAAGACACCTGAGGATCAATGGAGCAGTCCTCTCCCCCAGAAGACCATCTAGAAGAACAGGGAACATCAAATTTGCAGAGCACACAGCACTGCAAAACTCCAGGTCTAGGGGAAAATAGTATATAGAATTTGAGGTTTTTTTCTCATGATTTGTTTATATTTCAGTTTAAAATTTTCCTTCTTGTTTTTTCTTTTTTTTTCCTTTTCAACTAGTTTCTTATTTTATGAGCTCTGATTTTAAGTCTTTTTTTAACTTTCATTTTTTACATTTACATTTTATAGATATATTCTTCATTTTAGACTTCCT